TATGCAACCAATCAGATGACGAGGGGGCGCGCGGCTTGCTGGGAGTTGTAGTCTTGGTGTCACTGGCCGCCCTCTTAATGAGGTGTCGGAGCGGCACCGGGGCAGGGCGGTGGCGAGGTGCTGAGGTCGTAGGTTATCTGGAGGAATGTGTCTTAGCTACCAGAAACCGTAACGTTGGTTTAAGAGATTTGACAGATAAATACATAAGTAAACACTTAACATTTATTTTCTGCTTTTGTGTTTTTATAGTGGAATGAAGAAATCTTTCACTCGGAGGGTGGTGAGGCACTGGAACAGGTTTCCCTGAGAAACTGAAGGTGCCCCATCCCTGGAGGTGTCCAAGGCCGGGGTGGACGGGCCTTTGAGCAGCCTGGCCTAGTGGGAGGTGTCCCTGCCTATGGGGGGGGGGGTGGGACCGGATAATCTTTTAAGGTCCCTTCCAACCCAAACCCTTCTGAGATTCTATGATTCTGTGTTTTACACCTTTTTAATGAAGTAAGAAACTCCCTGCAGCCCCCACACAAAGCGGCAGCCGGTGCTGTCACACTCTCACTGCGCGCCTGAGGCTGGGTGTCACCCAGATTGAGCTGGGCTTCTAATAAATTACGAAACATCGGTAAAAATGTGAAACATTGTGCCGCGTGTTAAGTCATAGTACATCATCATGTCACTGTATCACTCAGGAGCACCAACAGGGGAAAAGGTTGACCTTTGAAAGAGGCCTGATGATCCTTGAGGTCCTCTCCAACCTGGGCTTCTATGGTTCTATGCTGCTGTGATTCAACAAGTGAAACGTGCTCACGGTGACTACTGCTGAAGGTGTTTCGTTCGGAGTCACATAATGTCCTGTGTGCTTTCCGGGTGTTTGTAGAGGGACTTACCACCGGTCTGAAAATGAAAGGTAAACAAAAGTTAGAAGAAAAAGAAAAGCAAATAGAGGTGTTACTACAAAGCAATTAGAGTCGGCGTATAGGCTCTATGAAACCCGTAATGGCTTCCACAAATCTCCCTGTTATTTTCTAGGTACTTAGGTGTGCTTTCTTTGACTATTTGATCCCTGCTTTTCTGAGATTAACTTTAAAAGACTAGCCCTAATTCCCATTATTCCCATTTCCTGTTTTTTCTTGTTTTGTTTTGTTTGTGGGTTTTTTTTGGTTGAGTTTTTTTTTTTTTAATTGGTGGACAGTATATTTGCCCTTCTCCAGGCTTCTGAAACCATGCATCTCCTCTGGTAGTTACTGAAGACATCTACCAATGGGTCTGAGAATGTTTTAGTCAGTTCTTGCCTAGAGCAGCTTATTTCAAAACAGCTGGTTTATCAAAACTGGTTTTATCCCACCCATTTCTAATGAGAGATAAAGCAACTGCTTGCAGAGTTGATTTGATAAGATCATTTTGACTTACTAACGTGGGCACTGTGCCTGGTTTACCAGAGCTGACAGGTGGAAAAGAAGGAAGAACTAGCAGTGGTTTTGTGGAAGTCTGGGCAAGGAAGCAACAGTGGTGATCCTGGGGATTGATGGTGGAAGCATGCAATCAAATGCCAGAATTTGCTGAATTCATTAAAATAACGCAAACTATTAATAGTGAGAGGTGCTGATAACACCAGTGTTCCAGATCACTGCTATATTAGAAAGGGTAACGTAGCTTTATCCTTATCTAAATGGCTTATCTGCTTTTAGCCCTGTAGAAGTCAGGTGTCTGGGCAGTTGTCTCAACTCTCAGTGGTCAATGGAGATACAAGTGGACACCTCTGGAGAAATACTCACTCTACATTACACATCTGTTTTCAGATTAGGTGAATCATCCTCCAGAGGTATCTATCTCTATTGATTATAGAGGGAACTAAGGTGACCACTTCAGACTAGATACCCATATTTTAGACATCTGATGTTAAAAGAGGTGAATTCCACCCATGAAGACTAAAAATGTCTTCTTAAAGGTGTTATCTCTTTTCGTGTTTTGCTATTCTTCTTTGAACCAAATCAGTCCCTCTTATAACCAAGTTAATCCTGCTTTGGAGATCGTGTAATTTAGGACCATTAAAAACATTAATATTCATTTCCTGGCTCTGAAGTTTGTTAGCCAGTGTGTTCCACTGTTTCACACGGTGCAGTTCTTCAGCATTTACTGCAAATTATGTATCTCAATATACGTCTATTGCATTAGTACAAAGTTGACATTTAATACTGCTTTTGAAATCGGGCTTCACTCAGTGGTGGCTGACTACAGACGCTGGACCCAATCATGCCGAATTGTACCCTGATGCAAACTACAAAGCCTATATGATTGCCTCAATAGCCAGAGGTAAAAAGCAGAAAACAGGGGCGGAGAGTAGAAATGGGGAGAGAAGCATAGATGAATTTTTCACTGCTTCCAAATGGTTCCTTTAGTTCTAGTGGCATTGTTCACAGAAACTGGCTACAATCTCTATTTGAAGAGATCACATTTTCCACGTCTGTGGCACACTCGCACTCTGTTCTCACAACAGTGCATTTTATCAGTCTGTCAAAGCTTGCACGTTGCATTGAATAAAGGCCTTTTTTTACCAAGGAGGATGAAGGAGACACTTGCTGTTGTTAGACCAGGTCTCACAGCATCTGTGGGCTGGGATCGCTAGAGGGCATTACAAATCTATTCGTTTGTACACACGTGTGTAAGAATACACACGCACAGGAGCGTTCCCCTTACAAAATAGGCCCAGTTGATATTTGCAGCATTGGTCTGCAAGAGGGGTCCTCTGATGGCAATAGCCCTTTGTGCACTGGGTCTGTTCAATCACAGTATTCGTACGCAGTCAGTGATTTCTGATGTACAAACTCTGCCAGCAGTAGTCTGTCTAACCACAAGGTGGAAGAACTGCTTTACTTATGATGCTGTCTCAGCTTGCGTGAAAGGTACACAACTGTGTTGGCGAGTTTTATTACTATCATTATTTAATTGTTATAGTGCATCAATGCCCCAAGGGTCTCATTCAGGACCAGAAGTCCTTGTGCTAAGTGTATTATAGATAAAGTCTGCAGTCCGGCTAGGAGCTTCCTGCAGATAGATCCCAGTGCCCCATGCAGCACTCGGGTCTGCGATACTTCAGGAGATCGCTATGATCTCTTTCTCTGCACAGTATAGTGATACTGTTAGAGATCCCTTCACTTCAGTGAGGCTCCCCGAGGAGATCGGCGCTTGGGGAGCTCCATGCAATCGTGCTCAGATGTAGCAGCTGGATCTCCAGTGCTCTGACAGAGCGTTCCAGGGAGCAACCACAACCGTGACATGCTTTACCTCCCCTTTGCCTGCCACCCCCATGCTGTCTCTCAGGCTGTTTGACAGTTGCTTGTCACATGTCCTTACCGATTTATCTACCCAGGTGGATAAAGGTA